TGATCTCGCTAAGAACAACAGAAAGAACAACAGCTAGCTTGATCTCACTAAACTAACACTGACAACAACCCACAAATTCATTCATCTTCAGAATGAGTCATCCCATAAAAATGTTTCCCTACCTCGTAAAACCCAGTTTAACCCACAGATATGATAGATATCATGAAATGGCAATAATGGTATTATTTCTGACAGGCATAAGATAGAATTATGTTATCGTTTTGGTGTTAAAAGTGTTAAAAAGTATTAACTAAAGTCTTGCAAATCACATTTCTTTTATACATTTGATTTTATAATGACTTACAAGTAATGATTTTTTTTTTTTTTTTTGACACTAGAGGGCACCAAATCTTACAGAAATAAATTGTTGGGATTCTCTGAGCTTTAGACTGGACTGAATGGACCTCTACATAGTGCAATATAGTGAATATTGTGTGGTTTAAGTTGTAATAAGACAAACAAGGAAGTGATGTTATAAGATATAAGCACCCTCCTGGTATACAAATGAAATAGTAATAGCAAAAATCAAGCAAGAACTACCATTTTCATCTTTGTTCTATTATATATGCACAGACTACCATAGCAACAACCTATTTCTGATTCCTACAGTTGCAAATAGTATTGTATTGTAGATATAATTGCACTGTAGATTAAAGTTTAAAAAAATGCTAGCTTGAATGCTTGAATCATACTCTTAAAGGGATGAACATGTTTCTTCTTTAGGGACAGGACGTCCCTGTGCAGCTCTCCAGCAGTTCATAGTAAGGGCTTAAAACACTATTAAACTAATTATCTGCTAATCATCATGGCATAATCAGATCCATACTTAGTACAACTCACTTAATCTTATTATGTGTTACAGATTTGATCATCTACTCTCCACATTTTGTGTGTGTGTGTGTGTGTGTGTGTGTGTGTGTGTGTGTGTGTGTGTGTGTGTGTGGGTGGGTGGGTGGGTGTGTGAACACGTATATCGGAGAATCAGGGCGATGATCAGATAGAGACATAAAAAATCTGAATGATGACAGGTTTATGCTTATAATAACATTATAAACAGTTAAAGTAGGTAATGTCATAAGGGACAGGAAGCATAAGTTTAGCCTATCCCTGGTTTATGACTATTGGGGTTAAAAATTGCCATATAATATCAAGTCCCATCATATTTCATTACTAACCTATGAATCAGAACACTACAAAGACACAAATATAACATGAATCATATAGAAGGAGTCCAGCAGGGTTTGATGATGAATGTATACAAGCATTCCTTAAATTGACCTCCTGGGTGCAAGCTGTGAACCTTTAAGTACAAATTGTTCATGAAAGTCCAACATTCCTTTAATACATAAAGAAGAGCATTCCAGGATGACCTGAGAAATTGTACACTCTCTGCTCTCTTATGTCACATTTGTTCCTAACACTGTCCATAACAGTGTGTGTCACATCATCATACCGATCTGCAGAGTTCCTCTTGGAGACCGTGTGTACAAAACAAGGGAACAAAAGAATCTGTAATTTAATTGAACCAGCATCCAGGGGACAGAGTCTACTGTGTCCTGCACTGGGAAGCGTGGGAAAAGGCCCACTGTTAGTCCCTTGCGATTGAGGAAAACCGTGTTTTGCAATGACCCTGGTCCTGAGGGCTTTGGAGACTTGGTCTCGTGTGGATTGCTGTGTTCACAGTCACATTTCTAACCTTAATTTCCATCTCTCATTTCTCTTATAGCGTCATAGCATCCACCACTGCAATGTGGTAAGGTATGAATTTGTGACAGTGAAATTTTTTATTATGATGCAAAAGTCTCAGTTATTAATCAGCTTTTGTCAAAGACAAAAGTATTCATAAAAATCTACACAAGCCAATTCAAAATACAAGTTGAGAGTGAGCTTGAAAGTGAATGAGTGTGTTTCACTGAGAAGTGAACACTCCTATACCCCTCTATGAGAAGGCTACACCCTCCACAATGACAACTAGAAAGCTTTAACTTGAAAGCGTGCAACCAATGTAGTAGTACAAGCTGTGACATTTATGGTCTGTTTGGTTTGCTTGATTGGCTGCAGTGTCTGGAAGGAATATGTTTAAACAGATGAAGGTCAACAGGAAAAGCTTGTCTGCTGTTTGCGTGTGCACCAACCAGCAGAGCTTGACCCTGCCCTAGCTCTAGTGCAGTTGTGATCTGTTAGCTAAAGAAATGTTCCATGTAAATTAGCCCACTTATAGGAGTTGAACACACTTTTTATAGATTATTTGATGTTTGGATTTTAATTTGAACCTTTTTGGGCAGCAACCTAGCATTCCAACTCATTCGTGATGTTAATTCACTCTTCATAAAAATCAGCTTCTTTTCATTTAAGAAGAAAAATCATTACCAGCATTTTCAGTTTCGTGTTTGTTCTGCATTTTCTTGATATTAGGATCCCACATTACCCTCAGGCTTTGCAAGTTGTAACATAAATTAACTCACGGCACCTACTTACAAGTTTATATTACAAAAAGAAAACAGTTTACATATAATACTTGAGTGGCCATATTTTGGCTTTCCAAAGAAAGCCATAGGAATCCTTGTTTTTAAGATTTTCATATACACACAATCATTCACACCTAGTGGCAATTTATTTTAGCCGGTCCACCTACTGGCATGTTTTTGGGAGGTGGGAAGAAACCTAAGAACCTGGAGGAAATCCACACGAAACATGAAAAACTCTGCACTGATATAGAAGTATATAAGTACCTGTATATTAGAAATATATAATATATATACGATACATGTAGTCACTTCCACAGCCTGAGTAATCCAGTCTTCAATTTCAGTGTGAACGGTACGTCACCTGCTGGAAATTTAACAGAACTTGCCGACAGCCAATAGGAGCAAGGCTTTAGTCATTCATGTTGGGTAATATGGAGCAGAGACTAGTCATGGCTTTACAACCCAGTACTAAAAATCTATAAATCAGCTCATGGCAAATCTCTGCACACTGCCATTGTGAGCACATGTCTATAGCACAGAATACATCATTCACAAATAGATCTCCATCCCCAAAGAGGTCTATGACAAACCAGTATGTCACATTCAGATGCCAGCTAGATTCCAAAAATTCATTGTAGGTACTAGCCTTAGGAGTAAAATAAAATGACGGTTTTTTATAAATTGTATAAATCTTGGTCAGAACAATACTTTAGATGTCAAAAAGAGGACATGTCCATAAAAAGGGGGTGTCTGGTCACTTGACATGATATGATTCATAAAAAAAAGGCTGACTGAAACTCTCCAGTTGTCACAGCATAGTGCTTGTCCAGAGTAATAACAACAAAGACATTTGAAGTGTCTATTGACTGCCCTGTTTGATGACGTCCTTTTAGAAATCAGTGTTGTACGATGGAGTAAAGCATTTTAACTTTAAAGCAGTTGTTTCTCAGCACACTGCAACCTGCCTACAAAGTCTCCTGTGTAAGCTTCATTCATTAACTCTAATAAATTCCTTTGCTATTTTAATTGTTTCCAGACATTTTTAATTTTTTTCTCTAATTGTCTGACTGAATTTTTTTCTCTAAAAGGCTGACTGAAACTCTCCAGTTGTCGCAGCATAGTGCTCGTCCAGAGTAATAACAACAAAGACATATGAAGTGTCTATTGACTGCTCTGTTTGATGACGTCCTTTTAGAAATCAGTGTTGTATGATGGAGTAAAGCAATTTAACTTTAAAGCTGTAGGCAGAAAACACTGCGACCTGCCTACAAAGTCTCCTGTGTAAGCTTCATTCATTAACTCTAATAAATTCCTTTGCTATTTTAATTGTTTCCAGACATTTTTAGAAAATGTTTTCTCTAATTGTCTCAACTTCTACGTAATTAAACTGATGTAATTTTCCCTTATGACATTTTGTACTTATGAATGCAAAACACAATGACGAATGCTGAATACAGCCAACACAGAGCATCATGTTTGTATCGCCGATTCCACATGAAGAACTGGAGAATCACAGAGACTCCAATATCAGCATCTTAGATCATTGGGTGGTGATGGTCTCTGAAAAAGTCCGGGAAACATCTGACATTGAGGAATGTTTGACCTGCTGGTTACAGGCAGCATAATTGAGAACATATGCTAATTGAAAAACAAAGGCTTTGAGTGCATGCCTCAGTACTATAAAAGGCGTGAGCAGGCCTCAAGTGTTTTCAGGTTGAACAGGACAAACCAAGGGTGAAACCACAGGTATGTTCAGAACTCATGTATCTCCTAAATCTCAGGTATCAAAGGGCCTGTTATTAATTTAACGCTATGTCCACTGACCTCAAAGAAGCAAATACATGATTTCCCAAATAAACAATGCATTACAAGGTTAAAATGTTTAAAAATGTACTTTAATTTTCAAAAAAAGTACAAATTAGTCATGTACATTACTTTGTGATTTTAAGAGTAAATAATGGAACATAAAAAGTCTATAAAAATAATGATACATCATATCCAATGATCCATCCATCCATCCATCCATCCATCGCAGAACATGTATGTACAGTACAGTATGTACTGTGTGTACAGTGCAATCAGTTGAGACACGTTTTGTTTTAGATTTGTTTTTTTTCCTCCACTCCCTTCAATTCCAGCCAAAGATGAAAGATTAGTGAGGTCCATGGGGTGGGAGATATTTATGTTTCCCACAGAAGGGCTGTTGGACAAAGATAAGACTTCCGTCTTCATCTCCTCAATCTAATGAAAACTAAACTAGACAGCAGTGGATTAGCTTTGGTGTAATTTTTTTTTTTTTTTAAATTTATGAATCTCTTAATAATATGGCATCTAGGCTTTACTTTGGAAAGCAAAATCTGTCAGCATAAGTGTACATTATTACATTAAAGATTTATTTAAGAAACATTTTTTTAAGATTTATAAGATTTATTTAAGAACACAGTTAAACAGCACCAGAAGTTATGGAAAATGTGTTATAGCAGATATGAAGTATGTATTATTACAACCCTAAAGTTAATTAGGGCTGTCTAGGGCAGTGGCAGCCCAGTGGTTAAGCTGTTGCACTACTACTCAGAAGGTTGTGAGTTCAAACCCCAGCAGTGCTGAACTGTCACTACTGGGCTCTTAACCCTTATCTTCTGGGTCAGGTAAATGAGATGAATATATGTTGCTCTGAATAAGGGCATCTGGCAAATGTCATAAATGATTATTTTCCCATAATAGCATATCCCAAAGTGTTTTATTTCTCTTATACAACAGCACTTTGCCAACACAGTGTTTTACTTACTCAAAATTTTATATTTCTCCACCAAGTAATATTTGGTGCATACTTTACAATAAAAAAACAGTAATCCGAAACAGTAATTGATGCTAATAATAATATTCTTGCATGCTATTATTAATAACAATTTATGCCACGTTGTTTAACTCTTGAATCTAATCTGATTGGTCAGAATGTGTTAATTAATTTTCTATAGCAGCAGCTTTGACAAGGCTGTAATTCAAATCGCAGTTAAAATGAATGTGTCGTTCTTTGTGAATCTGTCAGCTGAAGTTACAAAATTTAGTGTAGTAGAAGATTAAAAAAAACTTTGTGATGTGCTCTGACAATAGCTTTATATTAATGCACTCATTCTAATACATTCTTGTTTCTATAGTGACAACATACAAAGGCAGATGCTCCACATAATCTAAGCCTAATAATAAGCAAATTTAAAAATGATGTATTGTTATTTAACAATGAAAAACATCAAATCATTCATATGAAAAGCCTTCTCTTAGGAGGTGTTTATATAACATTTATGGAAGGAGTCTCCAGTGTCAGCACTTTGTATTTCCCTGCCATGAGGAACTCTTCAGTACAGAGGAAGACTGGACAGGAAAGTTGTGAGGTTTTGGGTTTCTCAGTAATATGACAGGCTCTTTTCTGTGTTATTAACTTCCGGAGAAAAGAAAAAAGAGGCTGGTGAGGGCAGGATTATTTATAGCTGCTACAATATACATAATAAATGTAACTATAAATGGTTAAAAAATTGCAATGTGTCATTTGTTAATAAATTAAAAATTCTAATCGTTGGCAAAACACTATGGAGTAAGAGGAAGAAAACACTGTGGGCTCTGCTGTTATAGGAAAATAGTCAAATTTGGGGTGGTAACATCTACTTCATGTGGGGCCTCACCACACATCCCCGGTGTGGATTATTTTCCTATTACAGCACAGTCTGTCGTGTGTTGTTGTTGACTTTTTACTCCTTTTAGTCATTAAGTATGTGCAATATGTTCTTACCCTGCATACTATTATACTAGTAGAATACAGCAAGATGCTAAAAAAGTAGAATATCTTAACAGATGCCTCCAAATGTTTTGCTTTGTTTTTCCTTTCTTTTTTTTCCCCATTAATTGGAATTCATTTGTTTCTGTACTGGAAGGAACCGAGCTAATTTCCTCTTCATTTATTTATTTATTGTTACATAATGGCATTTTAATACAGAACAAATTATTTATGGACATAATTATTTCTTTATTAGTAAAGGATCCACTGAAACAGCCACAACAAATAAACTACTAAATGCAAGCAATTAATAGTACTGTGGGAAAATAATTTTAATTTCCGCCAAGTGACTTATGTGTTTGTGAACACAGAGATTCTCAAACGCATCCAGCAGTGAATCTGACACTCCATATGACCCTCATTTTGTAAAGTTTATGATGATGAAAATGGGGATAGATCATCACAATCTGTTCAATGGCAGCGCTTTATATTCACTTAGCCGCTTAACTGAGCACAAGGCCTCTTTTAGAGAATGAGGATCAAAGTAAATGCATCGTTTTCACTTAAGCACACTTAAATGCTCTTGAGCCTAATCATTCATTCCTCATTTGATTCACTCATGAAGGAGTTTGAATGCAAATGCAGGTTTACTGGCAAAGTAGACAAATACGAAGGGCAGAGACAATGTGTAAGGGACAAGGACTAGGCAAAGCAAACACAATAACTTAAACAATCAGTGTTAAATCCACTAGAGACACTCCAAGTGATCCACAAGTACTTCAAGTGATGCTTCACAGGGAACAGGTTTCAGGTGTCTATATTTAGTAAACAGTGATTTGAACCAGATGTGTGAGATTAGAAGTCTGGGGTAAGAGTGATCAAGTCTTTTTTTTTGTCATTTCTCCATACTGTTTGTTCATCCTTGAATAGATTGGAAAAAAAATATGTCATCAGAACCATAATAATGCAGCATCACAGCACACAGGACTACATAAAATTCAAATACATGACATTGTGAAATGAGTGCAAAAATATACAGTACAATAAATCCACAGGGTAGAGCACACTAAATAATATAGCCAGGACAGAACTGTGTTGAGTGGAAGAAACCAGTGCAAACTATTGTCTATAAACTGTAGACTCAATACTAAATATCATACAATTTGGGCAGAAAAACAGATGGAGAAAATTGTAGCAGCAAGCTCAGTAGTAAAACATGGCTTATAGCAGCACAATAGCATTGTCTGTATTGATCAGATAATAACCGTTGTAGCAGAAGTTTCTGGGAAGTTGATGTGACATATTCTAAGGAACACACAACAAAAACCAGTGGGCGTGTTTTTTTAGAGATGGCATAATATAACACTTTTTCTTTTCTGATATTGATACTGAAACCTAAAGTATCAAGCGATATGGATCCAATATTGTTTTCTGTAAAAACTACTAAGCTTTCAAAGGTTTTTTTCTTTTCTTTTTTTTTTACTGAAGCACTTCACAGTTAAACTGTTTCACAAAAAAAACCACTTACATCTTACAATCTTTGCACTTTACACTAACTTACACTTAGAATCTTTGCCATTTGTTCCAGCAGGAACATTTTTTGTCAGCTGAACCCCTTCTACCTAAATTATTTGCCTCAAGTACCCCTGGAGATGCTAATGTTAAGCAAATCTTTTGCTTGTTGAATAAGTTTGTTTCTGTTGCTGATTTAATCTACGCAACCTTGCCTTGTTTTGGTTTTATGGCCAGGTTTTCATATTTTGCTTCCAAATATATATTTTAAGAAGGCTGGCTTCATACTTTCATTAGAAAGTTGCTTCATACCACATACTTGGGAAAGAGTTTGGCCTTGTCATTGTCCATTCTCATAAATCCAGATATTAAATATTCACTTTACTTGTGGAACATTTCCCACGTTGGAGCTTTTGTTGTCTAATTTGTGCTTTTAAGTCACTTTTACTTATGAGGTTATAGTATTAATGGCAAAATGCTACAGTAGGAATGGTTTTAATTAATTTCATTTTTGCTTATAAAAAAATATATTGTTAAAATTTAACTTAACAAGTCATTGATGTTTCCATCACAGTTTGAAGAACCCTCTGCAATGCCACCATGAACCCGCAGGGGTCCAGGAACCCCTGGTTGGGACCCCTGGTCTGTTACAGAATCCGATATGCCATATGCTTTCTCTGATATCTGATCTGCCATTTTTCTGCTGTTATCAGCCCTGTATCGATATTGCGCTAATATTGGATCGTATTTTTGCATTAGATCCTGAGTATGTGTAGCTCTTATGTCCAAAATATATTTTTTTTATAATTTGACTTAATTTGACTGATTGTGTTAATGTAATCCTTCTGCAAACATACATAAATACAAAGTAGTTACATTTTAGTTATAGTAAATGTGTGGAGGTCTTGGAAAACACATCAGATGAAATGTTGGCATTTTCTGCTATAAACTGTAGTTGTGTAGCTCTGAGATATGTTTCTCTTAACTACAAGCATTTAAAGATTCCATTCAGACATTTTGACACAAACTGATTACAAACTGAATTGATTAGGCTTAGGTCCATTTCATTATGTCACGTAGCTATCCAACAATTTGATCAAAGTCTAACATTCTCTGTGTGAGGAAATCCCACTTAGCTAGCAAAGTTTTACACATCTTTAGGCAGATTGACTGTTTTTTACACAACATGAACTTTGCGAGAAGATTGCCAAGACAAGATTGAAAGGTAAATTAATATATATATATATATATATATATATATATATATATATATATATATATATATATATATATATATATGTTGCCAGAATTTAGCCAGAGTGGCATCCAAGGGGTTTTCCCAGACCACCACATTTACTGTATGTACTGCATATGTATAGTTCATATGCAACTACACTTTAATTAGAGATACAAATTCAAGTGGAGCCAGTTAAATATACACAAAAAGTGGCATTAGCATATGCAATATATGAACATCATTTAAAACTACTAATAGTTATCACCATGTTCATGTCAGTGATGTCAGAAGTCTGGACTGGGGTTTTAGTTTACAGTTGACACAGCCTTTATGTTTATATCCTAAAAGTATGCTTGGTATCTTCCTACAGCTAACACCATTAAACAATTGTTCCTACAGTATAACAGTAACAAGACTTTACTAAAGGACCTTTTGTTTATGGTTGATTTCTGAAGAAGTAAGAGGACAAAGGATCAACCAAAACAAGGTGGTGAAGCTGTTGGAATGGTCTGAAGCTGGAATTCCTGAAGACACATTAGAATAATGTTTTGGCAGCTGTCTTTTTCTGGCTTGGTATCATATCTGATAAGTCTGTGTTTTATTTATCAGACAAGATGGTAATTTTGGTACACACTATTTGCAAATATTTGACATCATTGTTTTAAAATCGCAAGTTAAGTCTTGATAGCTTGGGACCATATTTGGGGTTGTGACCAACACTGCAGTCACACAAACAAGATTGTAGAGCAGATTTTATGAGGACATGCACTGTCAAAGTAACTGCACATGTGACCTGGGAACACGCACAAACTGTGTTTGGTAATATAATAAGGAAAAAATCTATATAACTAATCTTAAACTATTGTATGTATTAAATGATTACAGAAAAATTTGTTGTAAATAGCACTTAAAGAAGAAATTTACTAAAATGATATATAGGGAAAAAAAGCTACTGTATATACAGTGGATATAAGATGTCTACACACCCCTGTTAATATTGTGTGTTTTTGTGATGTAAAAATGAAACCAAGTTAAATCATGTCACATTTTTTTTCTCTTTTAATGTGATATAACTAATATCTTTT